ACGTGGCCACATTCAGAGCTCTTTCTCTGCTTGGCTTGTGAAAAATCTCTGCAAAGTATCACCGGTTCTGGCTGAGGAGTGATTTGCAGAGTATGGAGCTAGAATTGAAAGTAGCAGAGTCATGGAGTTTACAAGGGAATTAAGATGAAGTGTCTCCTGACTGCTGATGAGGAAACAGAAATCCTCTCACATCTGGTTCTGATTTTATACTTATCCAGCAAGCTTCTAAATGCCTGACTCTCTGGGTCAGACTCATCAGCTGTGACCAGAAGGGCAAGGCCTATAAGAACGCAACAGCTCTGTGGCCTCTGTATAGCCAAAAACCTACATTTTCTGAAAGGAGTTACTGGGTCGTGGAGAGACAAATGAAAGGGCTGAACGCAGGTTTTGCATGCTGTAACCCTGGGTTTGATCACAGGCACTGAAGGAAGCTACCACCAAGTCGGGAGAAACTGCCACCATTGCCAGAAAAGGATCCCTAACCTCAAAAAAGAGCTACTGCTTCCAGAATGTCTGGGTGCTAGATTGATGCTAGATTGATTCCTCCCCAAGTTGAAATTCTAAAGCCTAAAACTAGTTTAAGGGATCTCCCAGACCATACACAGCAAAATTATTCTTAGAGCCAGACTAGATCCTAAGTTTCAGGGGGTCTCCTGAGCACTGTTGAGGAGTCCCAAGCCCACAAAGAAGATTGTTCATACCAGAGGATCAGGGCTGTGAATGACAAATCAATCTCAGGAGAACTTTCAAGAAGTTAGCATCCTAGACACCCCCCCACCCCGCCATACACACACGCGCGATACTACCTTGGTATATTCCAGAGATTGTATATATTTAACCCCTTTTAAACCAAGATATTGTGGGAGCTGGAGAAATAGGACAGGGGGTAGGGCACTTGACTTCACTCAGTTCACCCAATTTCAATCCCTCGCACCACAAATGGAGCCTAAAGTGATTCCTGAGTGCAGAGCCAGGAGTAAACTCTGAACCCTGGTGTGGGCAAAACAAAGCAAATACAATTGAAAACAGGCAATAAATGAACAGCTATGCACAATATTTTCATTTAATAATTTTTCCTGTTTTAGGGTATGTTTTACTTTCATTTGCAGTCAATAGAGAGATAATGGGGAGATTTAGGCAGACAGAGAGGACCCTCGTAGGCCCTCTGTGTTCAATTCCTTCTGTCCTGAACCTTCCGGACCCCCAGTGGTAAGCAGTAATACAAAGAGAAGGGAGGGTTTTGTGGGGGCAGGGGGGAGGACAGTGAGTGGCAGGAGCACATTCTTCGCCTGCAGGAACCCATGGTCTCCAAACACCATTGAAAAGGAACCCTGAGCACTGAGCCAGGAGTGACCCCACCTGCTCTGATGGATGTAGCCCCAAACCAAAGAAGAAGAAGAAAGAAAAAGAGGAGGGGGGAGGAAGAGGAAGGAAGATAGATGAAGAGGAAGAAGGAGGAGGAGGAGCAGGAGAAGGGGGAGGTGGAGAAGGTGGAGGAGGAGGAGGAAGAGGAGGAAGAAGAAAGAAGAGGAAGAGGAAGGAGGAAGAAGTGAAAGAGGAGGAGAAGGAGGAGGAAGAGGAGAAGGAGGAGAAGGAGAAGAAGATCAGTACATAAGCAGAAGTGCCTTGAGTCTTTAGTGGTCTGTGAAACCTTTCTCTAAATTCAGACATCACCATCAGCATGTAACAGAGTAAGGCAGAAGCAGATTCCAGACAAATCTATAGCTTTACTAAACTTCCAAGAGTTGCCTCTACCTTCTCTCCCCTCTCCTCTCATGTTGCAGGTATTTACAACAAAATTGTAAGAGGTAGTTTTAAAAAAAAAAATCCATGCTAATTCTTTTGTTTGTTTGTTTTGAATTAGCCAAGTGATGCTCAGGGCTTACTCCTGGCTCTGTACTCAAGGATCACTCCTGGCAGGCTTGGGAGACCAAATGTGGTGTCAGGGAGAGAACCCGGGTTAGCCACGTGCAAGATAAGTGTGTTTTCTCTCTGCAACTTCACCTTGATAAGTCTTTAAAAATGAAAGAGGAAGTATACAACTGTTGAATCAAAGTAGGAAGCTAATAAGGAAGTAGGATCAGGACAAAGGCAGGTAAGCAGCTACAGTTTTTATAATAGATGGTGCATGTCCTCAAAGCTGGGGTGCACATTCATGCTTACTGCCATAGAATATCACCCAGCAGCTTACAAGGCATGAGACCAAAGATGACATGCAAAAAGAAGAATGTAGTGAGTCAAAGGGTGCTGCAGATCATTCCGAACAGTCACCAGTGTTATTTCAAATAAGGGACTAATTACAAACACTCCACAAGATGGCACCCTTGCTTTTTCGAAATGTACCTCTTCCTTGCCCACCAAAATGTTTCTCTTTGTCCATGGTCACTCACTGTTCTCCCGTTGTTCACAGATTTGCTTGAGCGGGCCCAGAAACATCTCCCTTGTGACAACTGTTACTGTGTTTGGCATATCGAATACGTCATGGGGAGCTTGCCAGGTGAGATACTCTCGGTAGCTTGCCAGGCTCTCTGAGAGGGGCAGAGGAGTCGAACTCAGAGAAATCGAACTCGGGTCGGCCATGTTGGCCACTTGCAAGGCAAATGCCCTACCCACTGTGCTATCGCTCCAGCCCACATTTAAGGATAACCAAATACCCAGAATTTTCTTATTGAAGTATAGAATTTTCTTACTGAAGGAGGAACAGAATGGGTCACTTTTGACTAGCAAAATATTTCTCCTTTCTTAAAGAATTGAGCTCTGCATGTCTTTCCCATTTACATAGTTACATGTGTGTAAATTACATTCAGTGAGAAAAGAAATTAATCTTTAGGATGGTGTGAAATAAAAGGTTTTTTGTAAAGGAGGGTTCCTGGGTCACACCCAGCAGTGCTCAGGGCTTGCTCCTAGCTCTATCCTCAGGGATAACTCCTGTGAGGCTCAGGGGTCTATATGATGTGCCAGGGAGCAAATCTTTGCACTACTTCTATGGTTCCCCAGAATAAATTTTTATTCCTAGCAGAGAGTAACCCCTGAATGTAGCACTACGATACTGTCCTTCTGTTCATCGATTTGCTCGAGTGGGTACCAGTAACATCTCCATTGTGAGACTTGTTGTTACTGTTTTTGGCATATCGAATATGCCATGGGAATCTTACCAGGCTCTGCCGTGCGGGCGGAATACTCTCAGTAGAGTGCTGAGCTCTCCAAGAGGGGCAGAGGAACCGAACCTGGGTCGGCCACATGCAAGGCAAACGCCCTACCTGCTGTGCTATCACTCAAGGCCCCCTGAATGTACAAAAACAGAAATTCTTTATTTGGTAAAAGTAGATTCTCACAAAGACTTTCTTCATGGGGGTAAAATGACTTTCCCTTTGGAAACGGCAAAAGCTGTGTTAAGAGGACAGTTTATAGCTCTACAAGCATTCCTCAGGAAGGAAAAGCCAGTCCACACAAGTAACCTAATCTCACATCTTAAGATCTTAAGAAATGACCAAAAAAAGGAGCCCAAACTAGGTATGAAAAAGGAAATAATAAAACAGAGCAGAAATTAATGAGATGGAAGCCCAAAAACCAATTGGAATGATCAATGAAACCAAGAGCTGGTTCTTTGAGAAAATGAGATCAATAAACCTCTAGCAAGATTCACAAAAAAGAGAGGGAGAAAACCTAAATAAACAGAATCAGAAATGAAAAGAGGGACATCACAACAGAAACTACAGAAATTTAAAGGATCATCAGAGATTATTTTGAGAATCTTTATGCCACAAAACAAGAAAACCTTAAGGAAATGGATAAATTCCTGGATTCTGATAGCCTCCCAAGACTGAACCAAGAGAACTTGGAGTGCCTGAACAGACATATCATCATTGAGGAAATTGAAACGGTAATAAAAACTCCCCCAAAACAGAGTCCTGGCCCAGATGGATTCACTAGTGAATTCTTTCAAATCTTTAAAGAGGACTTACTCCCAATCCTTTCCAAGCTTTTCCGGGAAATTGAAGAATCAGAAACACTTCCAAACAGTTTCTATGAAGCAAATATCACCTTGGTACAAAAAGCAGAAAGAGATACCACAAAGAAAGAGAATTACAGACCAATATTCCTGATGAACACAGAAGCAAAGATCCTCAACAAAATCCCAGCAAACAGATCCAATGACTCATCAAAATCATGACCAAGTAGGATTTATCCCGGGAATTCAAGGATGGTTTATCACTCGTAAGTCAATCAGCATAATACAACATATCAATAAAAGAAAAAGACAAAAGCATATAATCATATCAACAGATGCAGAGAAAGCATTTGACAAGATTCAGCACCCATTCATGATTCAAAAAAAAATCAACAAAATGGAAATTGAAGGACCTTTCCTCAATTTAGTCAAAACCATCTACCACAAGCCCATGAAAGCATTGTTCTCAGTAGGGAGAAACTAAAAGCCTTCCCTCTAAGATCAGGGACCAGGTTGCCCACTCTTGCCACTCCTATTCAATATAGTACTGAAAGTTCTTGCCACAACAGTTAGGCAAGAAAAAGATCAAGGGCATATAGATAGGAAAGGAAGATATCATTACAGATGACATGATACTATACTTAGAAAATCCTAAAGACTCTACTAAAAAGCTCCTAGAAACAATAGGTTTATATAGTAAAGTGGCAGGCTAAAAAATCAACACCCAAAAGTCCATGGCTTTCCTATAGACAAATAATGAGAGAGAAGAAAGAGACATTTAAAAAAAAGTCTGTCCACAATAGTGCCTCAGTTAGTCAAGGACCTTGGAATCAGATAACTAAAGAGGTGAAGGACCTATACAAAGAAAATTACAAAACACTACTTCAAGAAATGAGAGGACACTAGGAAATGGAGACACATCCCCTGCTCATGGAATGGGAGGATTGACATTATCAAAATGGCAAGAGTCTCCAAAGCATTACACAGATTCAATGCAGTCCCTATAAGGATAACCTATGACACTATAAAAAAAAAATAGAACACTCCTGTGCTCGCTTCGGCAGCACATATACTAAAATTGGAATGATACAGAGAAGATTAGCATGGCCCTTGTGCAAGGATGACACTCAAATTCATGAAATTCGTATTTTTTAAGCGAAATGAGTCAGAAAAAGAGGGATAGACATAGAAAGATTGCATTCATCTATTTTGAACATAGAGTAACAAAATAGGAGACTAACACCCAATAATGGCCGAGATTAGTACCAGGAATTTTACTCCATGGCTTGGAGGCCAGCCACACATGCTAGGGGAAAAGGCAGCTCAGACAGAGAAGGGAGCACCAAATAAAGGGTGTTGGGAGGATCCTCCCAGGATGGGAGAAGCATGCTGAAAATAGATTATAGACCAAACATGATTGCGACTCAATGCCTCTTTTGCAAACCACACACCCAAAAGGAGAGAGAGAACAGAGGGGAATGCCCTGCCACAGAGGCAGGGTGGGATGGGGGGGGAGGGGAGGGATACTGGGATCCGTGGTGGTGGGAAATGGGCACTGGTGGAGGGATTAGGTATTTGATCATTGTATAATTGAAACCCAAGCACAAAATTTGTAAGTCTACAACTGTACCACATGGTGTCTCACTAATAAAATTTTAAATAAATAAATAAATAAATAAAGGAAAAAAATAGAACACTTCCAAAATTCTTATGGAACAATAAACCCCCACGAAGAGCTAAAGCAATCCTTGGGGAAAAGAAGAGTGTTGGCATCACCTTCCCCAACTTCAAACTGTACTACAAAGCAGTAGTAATTAAAATAGCATAGCATTGTAATAGAGATAGACCCACAGATCAATGGAACAGAGTTGAATATCTTGACACAGACCCTCAAATATGTGATCAGTTCATCTTTGATACAGGAGCAAGAAATGTGAAGTGGAACAAGAAAATCCTCCTCAACAAGTGGTGCTGGGTAGGCCAGAGCAATAGTACAGAGGGTAGGGCATTTGCCTTGTACGCAGAAGACCCGAGTTCAATCCCCACCAACCCATATGGTCCCCCAAGCCAGGAGTAATTCCTTATTGCATAGCCAGGAGTAACCCCTGAGCATCTCTGGGTATGACCCAAAAAGCAACAACAACAACAACAAATAAGTGGTGCTGGGAAAACTGGACAGCCACATGCAGAAAAAAAAAAAACCCTCAGATCTCTAATGCCAGGTACGAAAGTGGATTAAAGACTCAATATCACATCTGAATCCACAAGGTACATGGAGAAAAATGTAGGCAGAACCCTCCATGACATTGAAGGCTTTAATCTTTAAGGATGAAACACCACTGACAAAGCAAGTGGAAACAAACATAAACAAATGGGACTACTTAAACTAAGAAACTTCTGCACCTCAAAAAAAAAAACAACAACAACAACAAAAATAGGTGATCAAAATACAGAGAGAGCCCATGGAATGGGAAAAATTACTTACCCTATACCCCTCAGATAATGGGTGAATATCCAGAATATGCAAAACATTAATGGAACGGTACAAGAAAAAAACCTCCAACCTTGTCAAAAAATGGGGAAAAGAAATGAACAGAAACTTCCTCAAAAAGAAATATAACTGTCAAAAAGGTACATGAAAAAATGCTCTGCATTGCTAATCATCAGGGAGATGCAAATCAAAACAACAATGAGATATCATCTCATACCATAGAGACAGGCACACATCAAAAAGAACAAGAACAACCAGTGATTGTGCAGATACGGGGAGAAAGGGACTCTTTCAGGGTTGGAGGGAGGGCCAACTGGTTCAATCTTTCTGGAAAATAATATGGGCATACCTTAAAAAACTAGAAATTGAGCTTCCATATGACCCAGCAATGCCACTTCTGGGACTATATCCTGGGAGTACAAAAAAGCAAAGTAGAAATGACATCTGCTTCTGTCTGTTCATTGCAGTCCTATTCACAATAGCCAGAATCTGAAAACAACCCAAGTGTCCAAGAACAGGTGATTGGTTAAGGAAATTTTGATACATCTACACAATGGAATACTATGCAGCTCTTAGGAGATATGAAGTCATGAAATTTGCTTATAAGTGAATGGACCATGCTAAGTGAAATGAGTCAGAAAGAGAGGGACAGACAAAGAATGACGACACTCATTTGTGGAATATAAAATAACATGAGACTAACACCCAAAGACAGTAGACATAAGGGCCAGAAAGATGGCTCCAGCGTTGAAAGCCTGCCTCATGAGCTGGGGGAGAATGCATCTGGGATAGAGAAGGGATCACTAAGTCAATGATGGTTGGAGGTATCGCTTGGAATGGGAATGCTGAAAGTAGATAAAGGACCGAATATGATGTCCTCTCAGTATCTGTATTGCAAACCATAATGCCCAAAAGTAGAGAGAGAGAAAGAGGGAAATTGTCTGCCATAGAGGCAATGGGAAGGGTGGGACATTGGTCATGGAAAATGTACACTGGTGGAGGAATAGGTGTTCAATCATTGTATGACTGAAACTCAATCATGAAAGCTTTGTAACTATCTCGCAGTGATTCAATTTAAAAAAAAAAAAAAGACTTTTCCTTTGAGTGTGGAAGTGCAGAGACTCCCCCACCAGATCCAGTCTTTTGCTTTAGTAATTCTGGTAACTAGGACACATTACACATGGACCGAGGCCAGCACATCAATTGCCTTTTGCTTACTCCTGGAAAACTTCCTACTTCATATCATCAGAATAGAAGTCCAGCCTTTGGTCAGCTAAGATGTTGGAAATTTCCTGGAGACGCTCAAAGACAAATGCTCTGAGGCTCAGGGCTATGGCTCAGTGGTAAGGGCGTTCTGTGATGCCTGGAGCCTGGATTTGATTCTCAGTAACACAGACACAGAGAGAGAGAGAGAGAGAGAGAGAGAGAGAGAGAGAGAGAGAGAGAGAGAGACTTAATTCTTCAAATGAAAAAATGAAAATCTATTGGAGACATCCTACTTGTCAAAAAGTTTAAGAAAAAAAAAGACATCCTTCTTGTCAAAATTGCATACATCCAAATATGCTTAAACAAGGAAAAGGCAGACAGGCCCAAAATTCTGCAGTAATTAAAATTCTTTCTTTTTTACACAAAAGCAGCAATGATTTGACTTAATGATTTCTAGATAGCTTTTCATCTAGTTTGTCATTGAATAGAACCTTTCTTCAGCAGTCTCCATGTCCAATCTTTCTGGGAATCTGCTCAACACATTCCACTCTGCAAGGAACAAGCCTTCCATTTGGGAGAGTATGCTTTCAGGAGAGTGACACATGAGAAAATCATATGTTTATAACACCACAGCTGGATTTACAAAATATTTAGACATTTGATATTGGAATTTGTTAATAACTCTTTATGGTTTATAAAATGTCAAACAAGTGCTCCCTAACCACAAAATGTTGCCATCCTAGAGAATTAAAAGAATATTCATTGCAGTATTGTTTCAAGTCAAAGAAATTTGGAACCAAAATAAATATCTAGGATCACAGACATCAATCGATGGTGTTATAACTGCTCAGTGGAATTCTAGACAGCTGTTGGAATGACAGGTTCAGCAAGTGAGCTTCTAGGGGGAGTCTGAGCTCTTGACTCTCGGTTCAGCACCTGGTTCCACCGTCCTCTGCAGTGCTGGGCAGAGGGAAGTCGCCTCTTCTGCAACCACCTGCAGCCCTCAGGGCCTGCTCAGCTGCTCGAGTACCAGTGTTAGTAAGTGTCGTCACTCCCCAAACCAGCCTCATGGCATCCTCCTGGGGATTGGCACCACTGGCAGTGTCGGGCACCCCGGAACAGCACAGGCCCTGTTCCTTCTCGGGTCCAGACCAGAAATGCCAAGCCTCCGTGAGTGTGCTTGGTCTCGGGAGCAGTTTGTCTTCCCGCGGGCACTGGTTCCTTTTGCTCCTCCAGTTCTCTATCATCTGCTGAATCAACTCCTTGTATGAAACTGTTCTGCAGAATGACAGGGCAGCGCAGGCTTGCCCGTGTGAGCCTGTGGGAAGGATCTCTGGCTCCCGTTATCCCACACCCCTCACCACATCCAGGTAAAGCCTAGAAGCCAGGAACTTCTGCCCAACCTGCTGCCCAGTTGAGGAGCTTCAGGAGCATCTCCCAGCTCCCCTGAGCACTCCCTGTGAGTCCCCCCCCCATTCTCCCCATCAATTTTTCTCTGTTCAAATACTTGCTCTGTACCCTGACACAATGTAAACCAGAATACACTGATGCTCAGTCGCTGATAGAATAGAAACACATGGTACAGACTAGAGAACACACCAGATATATATACAAGCACTTGTGTGCACATATAAACTCACACACTGCCGAGTGCTCATAAAACAAACACTGCATGTAACATTTCTTGGAATCGTGAGAGCACATGCTGAAAGGAAGCCCACTAGACAGATTCTGGGAAGAACTAGCAGCCTGGGGGCAGGAGACAATGCCCGCCTAGCAAACAGGAGGCCCACAAAGCTTTTGAGTTCAGGCCTTAGAACACCCCGTGCACAAGTGCTCACCCAGGCATTACCAAAACAACGTAAGAAAGAAAGAAAGAAAGAAAGAAAGAAAGAAAGAAAGAAAGAAAGAAGAGAGAGAAAGGGAGGGAGGGAAGGAGGGAGGGAGGGAGGGAGGGAAGGAGGGAAGGAAGGAAGGAAGGAAGGAAGGAAGGAAGGAAGGAAGGAAGGAAGGGAAGGAAACCAGGGAAATTTATTCGAAGACTTATCTTAGACAGCTCAAGGTAAGTTTTATATTATTTTTCCACCAAATTTTATACTTTTTAAAGAGGCTTTTGCTATGTTCTGTCATGGTTACAGTCCAGATATTCTTTTAAAAAGTGCCATAATGTGCATGGGGCTGGACCACTCCTAGTTGTCCTCAGAAGCTACCAAAGAGGAATATGCACAACAGTGCTGGGGGTGGGATAGGGGCACACAATGCTGAGGGGTTCACATATGCAAACCATGTGCTCTACAACTTGAGACCCCATTCTTCAGACTATGTTATATATTTTTTTCTGGCTGTTTGGGTCACACCCAGTGATACTCAGGGGTTATTCCTGGCTCTGCACTCAGGAATTAGACCTGGTGGTGGTCCCGGGACCATATGTAATATTGGAATCAAACTCAGATGAGCC